AGTGATCCGTTCGACACCCCGTGATCACACAGGTTGATATGTTGTTCCATGTGGGCTTTGTTGCTTCTGAGCTAGATGGCCGCTTGTTTACCTCTTTTGGCTGTTTTTTGGGTAGCAGAAACTGGCCTGGGGCATGGAGCTTGAATCTGAGGTGTGTGGCAAGACAGTTTTGACAGGTAAGGGGGTGCCAGGTCAAAGGCTGGAAGGTGTGTAAGCTAGACCGTGAATAAAGGTTGAGACCCTGTCTGGGCTGAGACTCTGTGAGAGGGTCCCTGCTGGAGAGGCTTGGGTTTAAAGCCCACAAAGGATGCAGCAGCGTCACGCTGCTTCTCCATCCCACAGGACCTGGATGCATGGACATAAAGGGGCCTTTCATAATTGAGGTGTGAAGAAATCAGCCCAGACAACACAACACCCCCTGGAGGTGACATAACCTCCAACTGGCTCTTTGGCTTAATTTCAGGGCCAGCACTGGACTGACACGGGCACCGTTATGCTGCCTGACACTTCTGCCCAAGGAGAGCAGGCTTGGAAGAAGATGTCTTTGGAGAACAGGGAAGACGTGGCGAGAATGACGAAATGGACTGACAGACATAAGGCAGAAGGTGAGCCCTGTGAGAGACTGGAGAGGTGAAGAGGGGCCAGCACTCCAGGTTCAAGTGAGCCTGGTTTGGTGGCCACAGCTGGAGAAGATGCTGCCTTTCCTCAGTCCCCTGGCTCAGCGGAGCGACCCTGGAGCACTGTGGGAGGCAGGTTTTCTCAGAGCGCCTCTTTCTTCCCTTAGGTTTGTCTTTTCGGGAGGCTGACTGGCCCCAGGAAGAGAAAAGGAAGCCCCCAACACTGGTGAGTGGAACTTAGCCTATTTTTCTGACATTCTGGCTCATTGTCTAGGGAATAGTTATGAATTCTCTGTTTTGGGAAGGCATTTCAGGCCTTTGTGTCAGGTGCTATGTTAAGGCAATTTGAAATTATTTTTTCACTTCAGCCTTTTAGTTTTCACTTGTTGGAAAAGATACCAGTTGAGAAATGAAATTTCTTCTAAAAAGTTTGTTAATTTATTTGATGTTGTTGAAAATATTTGCAGCAAAACATGCACCAGTTCAAGTTTCTACATGTACAGCTCGGGAACAGATGGCATTCTTTGGGTGTGCAGCCATTCGCGCCCTCCTTTCGGAGTTGTGCCTTTCAGATGTGTGCGACTCACAACCGCTCAAGCAGTGCTTTGAGTTGTTGTTGTCACTTTCATGTCACACAGAAAAAAACAAATAAAAACAAATTCACTGCCATTGAGTCCATTTAGACTCATAGACCTGGGAAGAACTTCCCCTAGGGGTTTCCGAGAAAAAATACGTATCTTTACATTCAATGCTTTTATTAATCTGATAAATGCAGTCAGTTAAAAAAAAGTACTAAAGGAATCTTGTTAAAAATAGCCACCCGCTGTCCCATTTGTCTTGCACTCCAGAAACGAGCATTTTAAAATCTTTCCGCTCTTTCTTCTGCTATTTACCACCCTGTTGTTATTGATCGATAAATAGTTTTGTTGGCATATACGTCACATTTAATACAATTTAATTGCACAATCATATTAAAAAGACGTGTGCAAGCATCACCATGATTAATTTCAGAGCATTTTTTCTTGTACTCACTGTTGCCAGCTCCCCTGTCACACCCCTAGGCAATTATCACTCCAGTGACTGTCCTGATAGTGAAGTGAGGTTTCTTCATAGAGCTCTTCTGCATAATCTCTTTTGTGATGTAAAGTCTATGCCTGTGGTTATAATCCCTTTGGGAGGGAGTTCTCCCTTATGCTAGTGAACAGGATGACGGTGAGATATATTCTGAGTTTTCCCCTTACTCTCATGAAAACCAGACTCACTGCCATCGGGTAAATACCTGCTCATAGCGACCCCACAGGACATGGTAGCACCACCACCGAGACGATAACTCACTACAGGTTTGGGAAGCCCAGTCTTTTTCCCGTGGAGTGCCTGATGGTTTCAAACTGCCAATCTTGAGAATCTCAGTCCAACTCGTAACCTCTATGCCATGAAATCCTGATACTCAAGATTAATATTAAGATTCACTAATAAAATATCTAAAAGGATATTTATTTTGAAAAACTGAGCTTGTTAAATTTTTAAAATGTACTTCTAAATTTCACTACACAGCCACATGCATACTGTCTTATGGTATCTTCTTATGTATGGTTTTCCATGTAAACTTTTTAATACTGAGCTGTTTAACAGATAGAGGAGAGATTGTAGTAAAAACTGATTCTTAGGTACCATTATGTAATGCCAATAGCCATCTATAAGGGCCCGTCTTAACGCGCGCCCCCTCCCCCAACATCCGGTTGATTGTGACTCATAGTAACTCTACAGAACAGAGTAGAAGTGCTCTATAGTGTTTCTGAGGCTATAATCTTTAAAGAAGCAGAGCGCTCCATTTGCTGCATTTATGATTGCAGTTTCACTGTAGCAAATGAAGGAGACAACTAAAGAGATGGATATAGCAAGGTCTGGGAGAGTTCCTAGTGCGGTGCTTCTGTTGACCTCTGTGATAGTCTTGATAGACTGATTAGATGGACCCTTTCTTCCCTTCAGATTAACTGGCTTTTGAAAGAAGTGATGTGATTCATTACGATCTCGATGCACATAGATATGAGGATGCTTCAAAAATTTTGTGAAAGAATACTGTTATCTTTTACCTCCATTGCCCCCAGAAACGTTCTAAAGCACCTTCATATTACTGCGTAGTGATCTGTGAACTGAAGAGCGATCTGAAAAATCTGTCCTTATCATAGTTAATGTGCCAGAAAAAAAGGAAACAAAACCCCAAACTCACCACCATCCAGTCAATGCTGACTCATAACAACCCCTTGAGGGTTTCTGAGACTGTAACTATTGATGGGAGTAGAAAGCCCAGTCTTTCTCTCTGGAAGAGCGGCTGGTGGTTTTGAACTGCCAACCATGCGGATCCCAGACCAATGCGTAACCACTACACCACCAGGGCTCCTCTTAGCCTGTGCCAGAGCAACTGAAATTTGAACCATTTTGTGGGACTGCAGCTATTTAATGAAACTGTGGTAACTGAAATCTGTGCATATTAGAACTGTGCAAAATGAGAAACTAGAGTTTAAAGTGAGTTGTTTATAAAGCAAGTGGAATTTATTAAATTTCATTTAAATTTACTTCTCAGAGGTTTGTTTTTTAATTGTTTATACTTACCTGGCATGGGTGAGGCCATGATAACACAGATGGTTTTCCCAGGGCCAGGCTTAGGCATTACATTTTGGATGTGGGGAATTTGACTGTCAGTTTGTTGTAGTGTTGTGGCTTCATATGTTGCTGTGATGCTGGAAACTTCCACCAGTATTTCATATACCAGCAGGGTCACCTTCCTGAGAGATCAGTCACTGAAAACAGTATGAATAACAGGAACACTGTCAGATACAGTGCTGGAAGATGACCTTGATGTGCTGGAAGACACTCAAAATCTGTCTCGGGAAGAGCTGTCTCCTCAAAGCAGAGTCGCCCCTGATGAAGTTGATGGGGATAAAGCTTTTGGGATTTTCGTTTTTTGGCGAGGCATGACTCACATTGTGAAGTTACAACGGAGTCAATAGATAACATCATAATAAAAGGAAAAAAGATTGAAGTTGTCAAGAATTTTAATTTACTCGGATCTATTAACAGTGCTCATAGAAGCATCAATCAAGAAATCAAATGGCGGCAGGGAGTTCGACAGGCCTCCTTTAGTTACCTGCACTCCTCATACGTGCTCGTTCCGGCCCTATCCTTTCACATCCACTTTCTCCTATGACTGAAGTTCATTCCAACCTCTCCTTTTAACCATCACCATCCTTTATGCCTAGCACAAGGTCCCCCACCCCCCAACTCTGATGTCTTTTATTCTTATCTCACCCATCCTATACTCTCCTGTTTTTTGAGTCCTCCATTTTGAATTCTCAAAGTCACTTTTTTTTTCTTTCTGGAAAGGCTTTATTATTATTGGGGGTGGGGGCGGGGGTGGGGCGGCCCGCAGTCCTTCTTGGCAGCGGCCTTCCTCATGGCAGCCAGCACGTTGCTCAGCTCCTCCCTCTTCCTCTTGGCTCAGATGTTGTGCTCACCCGCTTCTTGATGAACTTAAGTGCCCGCTTGTCCTTGGAGACCTTGAGCAGCTCCATGGCTCTTCACTCGTAGGGTGGAAACCACACGCCTCTCAGATCATGTCCCACACGAACTTGGTGAGGCGCCCGCGCAGCGCAGCGGCTGTGCCTCGGCTTGCTCACGTTCTTGGTTGCCTTGTGGCCCTTGTCGGGGCCCATGGCAGTAGTAGGGTAGTGCACAGCCATGGCTGTAGTAGGGTAGCGCACAGCCATGGCTGTAGTAGGGTAGCGCACAGCCATGGCTGCTACTCTTCGATGGCTGCACAGCAGAAGGCTCACAATCACTTTCTTGAATACTACTTACTGCTTTCAGATTGAATCACAGATAATTTCTTCCGTGAAGTCATAGGTGTTTGAAGTCCAGGATGTGTTTTGTACACAATTCATGTGGCTCACAGATTGTCTCACACATCCAGGTACAGAGTCATGCCCAGGAAAAGCTTATATGGAGAGCTGTGTTCTCTGAAAAGGAATAAATAAGCTTCATTAATCCCTGACTTTGGGGCTACCCGTAAACTTCAGGGATTAGGAAAATTTCTGGTGCTGTGCTGAGCAGGGATTCATTCCTTCTTCCAGGAGCCAGTGACATTCGAGGACGTCACAGTGGTCTTCACGGAGGCCGAATGGGAGAGGCTGAGCTCTGAGCAGAAGAACCTCTACAGGGAAGTCATGCTGGAGGTGTACAGGGATCTGCTCTCCTTGGGTGAGTATAAACTCTCCTTTTCCTTTGTAATAATGCAGCAGGTGTTTATTGCTGACCACCAAGGAAGTGCCAGAGACACCCTCCTGGTGCACTTGTGAATCAATTGGCTGCTGATGGGAAGATCACCGTTCAGGCCTCAGGAGGAAGACATGGCAGTCTGCCTCTGTGAAGGTTTACAGGCTGGGGAACCCTCTGGAGGCACTTGTACGCTGTACTCAGAGTCAATTCTGTGACAAGGAGTAATTTTAGATCTCTATGTACCAGTACCAGCAGTTCTGAGGGAGAAAGACTGGACCCACTACTCCATAAACAGTTACAGTCTTGGAAACTCACAGAGGTCCCTATGAGTCAGCAATGACTTGATGGCAGTGAGGGTTTTTTTTTTTTAATGTACCAAAGGTTTTACTCTTTAAAACACCCAGAAACACCCATCCCACAGCACTGCAGAAAAAAAGCCTGTTAAACTGCTAACTTAATGATTCCAGCCTGTAGGATCCTATGTTAGGCCGGGTTGACTAGAGAAACAAATCTAGAGACACTCATATGTGTATAAGAGAGAGCTTATGCCAGTCCAACTCAAGTCTGTAAGTCCGATAATAGTCCATAGACTCACGCAGTCACATACAATGATGTGGGATGCAGGAGTGCCACAGGTTGTGGGTGCAAAGTCCACCTAATGGCAGTGGTAACATTGCAGGGCTCTGGCAGCTCCCAGGGTGGCCAGCAAGCAGGAAGGTGAAGGCAGAGAAAGAGAGGGAGAGGCCGGCCTCCACAGAGCTACATATCTTGGTTGTTTCTCCAAGTGAGTTCATCCGGCAGTGACCTGATTTTTTTTTTTTTTTTTTCGGCAGTGACCTGATTGACAGGCTAAACTCCACCCCTCCACTTTTATATATCATTAAGTTGACATGAAATTATGTAACTACAAACCCTATGGACAAAATTTAAAGGAAAAAACCCCATAACCCTCTAGAGTGGTTCTACTCTGTAACACATGGGGTGGCTGTGAATTGGAATTGGCTCAGTGGCAATGGGTTTGATTTTTGTGTTTTATTTTTATTATGGACTGAAGAATGTGTGAGACACTCAGAACACATTAGTAAATATAATGGTTACAAATCCTTCCCTCATTGGGCTGATTTATTTATTTACTGCTTGAGATAGGTGATCAAGATCCCTTCGGACTAAATTATGGCACAGGGCAGAAGAGTTGATGTACCCCTGGAGGAGAGTTGTGAAAGTATATTGTTGCCCCTGCCAGCTGAAGGCAAACTGCTTCTGGTGGTCCTTCGAGACTGGTATTGAGAAGAAGGCATTAGCCAGATCAATAGCTACATACCAAATACCATGAGAAGTATTAATTTGCTCAAGCAATGAAATCATATCTGGAACAGCGCTACAATTGGAGTCACCACCTGGTTAAGTTTACGATAATCCACTGTCATTCTCCAGGATCCATCTGTCTTTTTTACAGGCCAAATAGGCGAGTTAAATGGGGATGTGGTAGGAATCACCACCCCTGCATCTTTCAAGTCTTTGATGGTGGCACTGATCTCTGCAATCCCTCCAGGAATGTGGTATTGCTTTTGGTTTACTATTTTCCTAGGCAATGGCAGTTCTAATGGTGTCCACTTGGCCTTTCCTACCATGCTAACCCTTATTCCACATTTCAGGGATCCAATATGGGGGTTCTGCCAGTTACTAAGTATGTCTGTTCCAATGATGCATTCTGGAACTGGGGAAATAACCACATGATGGGTCCGGGGGCCCACTGGATCCACAGTGAGGCGTACCTGAGCTAAAACTCCGTTGATAACTTGACCTCCCTAAGCCCCCACTCTGAC